TGAATTAATGACTTAACCGTACATTATCCATGAATTATCCACGAACTGAGAAAGTTGTAGTAATTTTGTGGTTAAATAGTTGCTTCCAAAAAATTTTCCACACATTACATTGTTCTTGGTAAATGGTTGTTCAGTTTAGATGTTGACATTTAATGTAAATTTGCTAAAAGAAAATTTTAATTGAGCAATCATTTTAAAACAGAGAGAGTATATTCATTTATATAAACTATTCACTATGTTATACTTTATTAGTTTTATCTATTAAAGTATTTATTTTTTTCACAAAAATAGTCCATATTTTCTCATTGTAAACTGTATTAAAAAGGTATAGTGTACAATTGCAATGGATGGAGAGTTTATAATAATATTCTCTTTATCCCAAAATTATTGTCATGTTTGAATTTTCACTTTTAATGAATTTGTACTGAAAAGAAAAATCCAAACTGGATAATATTGAATTTTCACTTTTTGTTCAATTTGTACTGAGAATAAAAATCTAAACTGGACAATAATGGCTGGATGGAGGGAGTAAGTTCTATCTGTAGATAATTTTTAAAATAATGTTGTTTTTGTAGTTATACAATTATAACCTACATAATTTTTGGTAACATAACTATAGTAAGAATTTGTCTAACACATATACTCTTTTTTTGTCTCACATTAATTTTTTCATGATTTAATTTTGATATAAGAACAAGCAAATCAACTGAGATTACGAGAATTTTCCTACTACATGTTATATCTTAAAAGTTTTACATTAGTGTCACTTACTTAATATACAAAAATTATTATGATTAATAACTGATAAGAATTGAGCAAACGGTATACTTTTTAGGAAAAGCATATTTATTTTCGTACAAAAGTATAACAATATTTTAAAAAATGCAGAGAAAATGCCAAAACAAAATATTAGAGGGAACGTTTACCCCCCAAAAAGTATACATAAAACTTGGAATAAGAAAATGGAGGGAAAAAGAAAGTAAGAGGGAAATTCAGAAATTTGACTTTTATAAGTGTCCAATACTAAACTTCTTTCTCCATAAAAAAAAATCTGATCCTATAGGGTTTCCCTTTTTCCTTCCTTTGCCGCCCCCTCTTTAGCTATCTCCGCCTCCCACAGCCGCCGCAATATGCAATCGCCCAAATCGTTTGGTTAAGTGAAAAGCATGTGGGAACCAGATCTTCAACTCAAGCTACAACCTTCTCTCATCTACACTGCTACTTTCAGATCTGCTCAGAAGCCGGCTTGAGATTTTAATCGGGCATCAGAAGAAAATGGTCGAAGAAGAGCATAAGGTGTACGGCGGTTAATTACCCGGCTAAGGTTAGATAGAAGGGGATAACATCGGCGTCCACATGACCAACACTGATAAAAATGCCGTTGAGGTGCTAGAAACTTTTGCCTTTTATCTATTTCTCCTTTCTGGATTTATTCAATAGATCTATATTGTTTTTAATTGATTGAGTTTGTGGGGGCTAGATGAGATGAAAAAGCGATTAAAGGAGATGGAGGGTGAAGCTGCTGCTCTCTGCGAGATGCAAGCTATCTTTGAGGAGATGGGCGGTGCTCAAGGTTAACTTCATCTTTTTTTCCCATGTTTGCTTGGGTTTCCTTCTTGGTTGCAGTCCTAGGTTTTTAATGTTGACGAGAAACAATTTTTAATGCATTGACAGACCTTGCAAGGGCAGCTGCTTCTCAAGCAAAAAGGGAGAAGTTGATTCCGGATCTATGTTTGTTTGGAATGTGAGTACTAGTTTTAAAGTTTTGGTTCTTTTTGTCCCCCCTTTTTGAGAGATTGATTTCAGTTTGCATACATGGCATAAATTGCTGTTTTGTATTTACTCTAATTTGTATGGGCTACTTTGTTAATGATGCTCAGATTAAATTATTTTGTGTTGCTGTTTCTTATTTAATTTCTTGATTATAACTCAGTATCTACTCTGTTTCCTACATCCGTGATTGTCAAGTTTGACTAACCCAGTTTAGACAAGATGGGCTTAGGTAGATATTCGTGTTTGACATCTTATTTTTGTTCCTGGTTACTTATTTTGCTTCCCTTAATTTTACAAGTGAAATTGAGTCAAAGACATTCCAAAAGTTATCTTTACCCCATTCAAGAAGTTAAAAGCTGCTCAAATGATAGCATTCCTCTTGCCTCTTTCTCACTTTTCATTCCCCTTGTGTATAAAAAAAGTCGGCAACCTATTTGAAAGAGGGTAGGAAACAAAAAGCTGAAAGTGCAAGGGGGTTAAAGATCTGGAAGTTTGGTAATGTTGTAAACAACTTGTTTCTTTTGGTTCTATAGTTGTTTATTTTCAATTGAAAGGCTGAGATGTATGGTTGTATATTGAGGCTTGAAGATCTTTGATTGAAGATCCTCAGATGGTGAATTGGAGATTGCAGGATAAAACACCCATTGAAAAGCTGGACAAAAAGAGATTTTGGAGAAAGCATGCTGATGGAAAAAGCATCAATGGGATATATGCATAAGATTAGGAAATTAGTGTCTCTAGTTTTTTTTTTTGTATGAATTTATTAGAGTAGCTATTTCAACGATAATTTTTGTAATTGTACATTCACTGTTTGTGTATTAGTATAGTATTACTCTTTACCACATTTTTAATGCAGCATTTTAAATTCATTATAATTATATCTGATATATGATATAATTGTACATGTTTTTATAATTAATTGTTTAACATTGAGGCTCCAAAAAGAGATTAAATAGCAGTAATTTAAAACAAAAAATTGACGCAACTAATCACACAATATGTAACATCTGACGCAAAAAAGTGCCACGATACTTGTACGGCATTAGTTAACTGACACAAACTTATGTCGCAAATTCGAACACGGCAAATATAACAAATGACGTGATATGTGTCGCTAATTTCGGAGGCATACTATTAGTGTCACATAAGTGCCGCAGTCCTCGCGGCAGCTTCCCAAAAAAGTGTCGCCAGATTTGCGACCGGACTTTTCGCAACACTTTGAAATATGACGCACATTCTGTCGCAATTACCTTTTCGCGACACTTTTACCCCTTTTAGCTTCACATTTTTAGTGACGCTAAAGGCCATTTTTCTTGTAGTGATCACAAGCAGTAGAAGCAAACAACTCACCAAAATAATTATTGATGATGCTCTCTAATTCTGCTTTTTCATAGCATTCACGGCCTTGATAATCTTTTAAAGAAGAGATATGATTCACCTCCCTTCTTTTATCAGCATGAAAGTGAAAAAATTTAGTGTTTCGGTCTCCTTCTTTGTACCCGTGTTGTTTACCACGCTGTTTCCATTTCAGATTATCTTGCTCTTGTAGTACTTCAAGCTCATCTTTTTTCTTACAAATCTCCGACTTGACTACATCTGTAATGATCCCTTGCTCTAGTCCAATAATTTCCTTTTTCAGCAATTCAATTCTTTTCGGGACTTCTCGTACTAGTTTACCACCCCTAGACATCAAACCAGCAGCACAGTCTGTAATCTTATCTGGCAGATCATAGTCATTCTTTTCCCAAGGATTTCTAATAATATTTTCACATTCTTCAGACTTGATCCATAATGCCTCAAAACGAAATAACTTTCGGCGACACTGATGATTATGAGGGATTTTCAACTTTAAACACAGATGGAGCATCACATGATCAGAGCATAATGTAGGCAAATTTACAACTTTCTGAGACTGAAAAATTGACCTCCACGCATCGTAACAAACACATCTATCAAGTCTACTATGTTGAGTAAAAGGCTCAACAGATAGTCTGCTCCATGTGTACTGAGACCCTTCAAAACCTAAATCAATCAAATTACAATGGTGTAGGAAAGATCGAAAAGCATCAATCTGTCAATCAAATTTTCTACTTCTACCTTGAGCTTCATCTTGGCTGAGAACTTCATTAAAATCTCCCATACACAACCATGGAGTTTCAGGCGAAATGTAAAGATTCTTTAAATTCTGCCATGCCAACTTTCCTTTTGCCAAATCAGGTTCTCCATAAATATCAATGAATCTGAATGATAGATTATTTAGTTCAACAACAGCATCAATAAAAGGTTCACACATGCGTCTTAATTGAACTTTTACATATTTTGTCCAATGCAAAGCTAATCCACCAGATCTACCATTAGTACTTATAGCTACACCTTCTAACTTTAAATGATTCTAATATTCATAATTGAAGGAATAAAACATTTAGTTTCCATTAAAAATATAACATCAAGAGACTTAAGTCGAATAAACTCTTGAAGCTGGTTAATAGTACGAGGGTTCCCAAACCCTCGGCAATTCCAACTTACTATACTCATTTTCGTTGGCGGGATTGGCTACCTCCGCTGCCAATCTACGCCTCCTCAGATTGAGAAACATCATCATCAGAACATGTGGAAGTCCAAAACGAGTCAGTCTCCATTACCGAGCAATTAGTACGTGCTTTTTTATTCAAAGTCTCCACGGCAATCTCCTCAACTTCTTCAATTAAGAATCTCCGCTTTGCACGTGTCAACGGAGCCTCAGTCACTGTTGATGTACGCTGCTGCTTCTTTCTTGCAAAAGTAACCGTTCTGGTAGCAATTCTTGCTTTAGTATCTAATACCACGGGAACTGAAACCAAAAAAGGGTCGTTAGAAAGATCATTGCAGAAGGCTGGCAGTGAAGTATGTTCAGGAGTGTTAGATTGTAAGTTGGAGTTTATGGTAACGGTGGCTGGTGAAGTAGAGTTGTCAGCAGGCTGAGTAAGTTCGGGTGTAGAAGGTGTAGGGAGCATACTCAGGGTTTGAGGCATACTGGGAATTGGCGTTGCTGGAAGATGTAGATCAGAGAAGGTGGCTGAATGTATTTTGTGAAGGACGGGCCTGGTATTAGGGCTTGAAAGGGATACGTGAGGCTCAGGAAACTCAGCAGGAAAGGGTTTGGATATGCTGGATCCTTATCGGAATAAAGAACTGTAGTACGTGCCGAAATGGCCACTGTTTGAACAGCCATATCAGTTATTGTTTCTGGTGGATGGTGATGGATTCAGATTGGACGTGATATGCTGGAGGAAGGATCATGTGTTGAACAGGGAGTTGATTGGTGTTTATGCTTAGTGGTTGGGAAGTTGGAAGCTGTGAAGGGATGACGAGTAGACGGAGAAGGAGGGGGATGATATGCTTCAGGTGATCGAAATGGAGGTCTATAAGCAGGATAAGTGATCAGAGAGGTTTTCTGGTTTTGTGGATGAGAGGAGGAAGATGATTTCTTTGAATTTGAAGAGGAATTGGAGAGGGATGATTATAGGCAGTAGAGAAGGGACTAAAGGGTGGTGAGGCTTTCAACAATGGGCCATATTTTGGAGGAACAGAAGCAGATTTTGAAGTTGCATCTTCACAAATTTCTTCCAAATGACCGATTCTACCACAAAGGAACCAGAAGCTTGGCAGCCGTTCGTATCTACTCTGACAGGTTCGAGGAAAATTTTTGTAAGTGAATTCCAGAGATGAACGTAGAGGCTTGTCCAAATCCAAACTGACTCTGATCCGAAGAAAACGTCCCACAAAACCGCCATCATCATCAGAAGTAGCATCCATGTAAGAACCCAACTTATTGCCACGGACTTACTAATTGTTAAATCTCAAACTCTAGTACACGTTGCGTGTATTATTTTCGAAGGAATTTTCTAAGTTGACATGAATACATTATGAAATATCTAGGGACATTATTTAGCTATAAGGTCTTCGTTTAGTTTCTTACGTTAATTAAAATGTTTGCATGGTTAAATTTTGTGTTGGAAATATGCAACCGATTTTTTGTTTTTTAATATTTTTGGGGGGTCGGGGGGTAAGGGATGACAAATGAGAAAAATAGAAAATAGAAGAGAAAAAGGAACTTCGTATGTTTTGAAATGATTATTCAATTTAGAATTTCAATTTTAGTATAAATAAATTAAGAATAAATTATTTTGGAATAGATGAAATATTTGAAATATCTAGATGTCATATATTCGTCAAGACATTTAACTCAATTTCCTCATTTAGTAGTTCAATTTACCAAAGGAAAAAAAAATGTTGATAATAATACTATTCTCCTACTCCAGAAAAAAAAAGTTTTTTTTGTAACATTGTTTGAGTTTTACAAGTGGACTTCAAACATTAAACACGAGTAACGAACACCGACAAGGTTGAGTACCGGAACATATTTGTTCATATTAACAAAAGAGGTATTTCACGTCGTTTTCAATTTGGAAAATGATGGTGTCTTCAGGGAGTTAATTAATGAAAGAATCATCATCTACATAAGGTCTCCTCAAATTTATGTTTAGAATTATTAATATAGAATTTTTTTATTATTTTTCATAATAAAATCAGAGTTAATTTATACCCATTCCATCTTATTTTAATAGTTTATGTTTATTAAACTAATTTTCAAGTTGAGAATTAATTTACATAAGCAGTTTGATTGGAAAAATATTCTAGATCTTTTACCAAAAAAAAATAAAATAAAATATTATAGCCCCTTTTTTTTCTCTAAACCTTACATGGTAGCTGACTAAATCCATGAACATGATCATAAAAATTATGCCATTTCCCACTTTTACTATGTCAAAGGTTGCCCGTTTACTGTAATCTCCTGGCTAGTCATGACTTTGAAACACATAACCACTCTCAGACATATAACTTATTTTCCTTAATCAGCGTCATTATACTTTCTTTTATTATGTTTGTTTTTATGTCAGTTTCAAAACTTTTGTAGTCTGCATATGCATGCAATTTAAAAATATAAAATGCGACTTCATTTAGCCTCTAGAGTGTTTGTCGTGAGCTTTTTAAAATCATTATTGAGTAAAACAGGACCAAGAAGCCCGCAATAATGAATACTAATTGAATTATACCCGCTTCGCGCATCTCTTCATACAATAATGTTATTAATGTTATATATACATATTTTTTAAACAATCAACACAATTCTCGAAATACATGGGCATAATGAATAATACTGTAGCATATAATATTGGCAAACAAATAATTTTACTGATTTCATGTCCTTCATGTATTATTTTCCAGAAACTCAAAAGTTTTTCGTCAAGTTTGTAGCTTTGTGCTAATCTCTAATTTGGTTGGTAGCTCATTAATCTAATCCAAGCATTCATTCATGATGAGGAGAGATCCCATCGTTCTGATTTGGTGAAAATGGCCCCAAGCAACTTTGAGAAAATAATCAAATCTGAATTTTGCTCAAACAAAACAATTGAATGAAGATTACAATTGAAACTTAAAAGTAATCACAGTGTGCTCATCCGAGATTGCAAACAAATATGAAAAACCAATTAAGGGATATAATATCAGAGTTAAAGGTTGAGATGAAGGAACCAAGACTTGAGGATTTTGATCCAGGTTGATGTGAATATTAGCAGTTGATTATGTGTAAATAGTTTTAGTTGTGATCAGGGACTGTTTTATAATTAATTGTAAATATAGAGGCTATAGAGTAATTTGTACAGACACAGTTAATCATTAGCTGTAAATACGTGTTAGTTAGTCAGTTATAGCAGGTAGTATCTTGTATAAATATAGGATATACGGTTGACTTGTAAAGCGACTAATACAGAATTTTCAATACACAATTTTTTCCAATTCTCAAAGTTGGATCTCTCTCTCGTTCTTGACTCCAATGGCGGAAACCCTAGCAACCTCTTGATATAACATTTTCTTCCACACGTCCCCCTCCCCCCCAAAAAAAATCTCTCACCTCTCTCTTAAAAAAACCTCCGCTGGCTCCTCCTCCAATCTCCATTAACAGTGGTTGGGGGAGTAAAATCTTTGTTTTCTTTCTGTCCACCGGAAAAAATAGAAGAATACACATCTATCCACTGTCAGTGAAGCCTCCGTATCACCGTCGCGTCATCAACATCAACTTCGAAACTTTGATGTTATTAATTTGTCCTAATTCTCGAGAAATCAAAGTTCTGGTTAATTTTATGTCAGTATCACGGATGCGATCTGTTGGTCTGATCTGTTTATCAGATCGGCAGCCGATGTTGTGTTTCCGTTTAATTTGGTTTTATATTTTTGTTGTTTTTATCCTTGTGTTTTAATTCAATTAAGTAGGATTTCCCACCCTCAGTATGGATCCTGGTTCAATTCCTTACTGAGTGAATATAGTGCGCTAACAGAGTCAGGTCTATTGTTTGCCTTTGTGGCTCGGTAGATCTTGTTCGATCTGTTGAGTGCCGCACGTCGTCTTTAATGACTGCTAGTTTGGCCCGAGAAATTTTCAGTTCCGGTGAATTTTTTAGTCAGATTTGCTAATTAGTGTTTTACTCCGATGGTTAGTGATCTACTCAAGTTCAGATTTTTAATCTGTTCTGTGATATGTCCAACAATAGAATCATGCCGTTGGAGGATCCTTCCTCACAGGAATAGCAACTGGTTGGTGAAAGTTATATTTTGTATTTCCAGTTGTAATAGTTTAGTGACTAGTTTAGTGGTTGTATTTTCCCGTCAGTCGTTGTTGGACGGTTTGTATCAATCAGAGTTGGCTGATTTCCAGCAATCGTAATGAAGTTTTCTTTCTTAAAAAAAAAATAAAATTAAGGGATATAAATTTTTATTTTCCAATTGAGTTGCAAAATTCTCTATGGCATGTCTCGGGAATGACTTTAATTAACTTGCACGTGCATCATTTTTATGCACAACGAACATAAAAAAATTTTAATACTAAGTTATACTAAGAAATCAAATAGCATAATACCAGGAAATAGAGAGGCTTTAGTCAATTTTTAGAGGTGCAATTCATCATCACAGAGCTCGCATAATCCTTAAAAGATAATCCAAGAGGAAATGAATTCGGGCTCATTTTTAACTGACTATTGCTTTACACCATCTCTGACAATTTCTATATATGCAACAACTTCGAACATCAATCTATAAAATACAATTATATGAGAGTTACTAAATTAACTTACATACAAGATACTCCTCAAATACAGTTTCCAAGGTGCAAGACATTGCTTATATTCAGAAGGCTCAACAAATCAGAGCAACTGCCCAGAATGGAAAAGAACCATAACCCAACTATCACCTTCTCCACAAAACCGACAATTAAATCACATATCTTAGCTAGCTAGTGATCACTTCACAATATCAATAATAAAAACTAATAAGTCCCGAAGTAGAAGGGAAAAAACATACCAAGAGGAACACTTTAAGCGTGTGTTTGGCTACATGTTTTTGGATTCAATTGGCATTAGAATATTTTGGGATTCAATTGGCATTCAAGATATTTTAATTCAATACCAATTTATTCGTTCGGCAAAATCATGGAATTGGCCACAAATTCAATTGGGATTCCAAATTCTCTGTTCGGATAGTCAAGTAATTGGGTTGGTTTTGGTTTTTGTTTATTTTTTACAAACATAAAGAAAAAAAGAAAAAAATTGATTTATTTTGAAATTATTTCAACTTTTAATTTTTGTTTTAAATAGTATCATTTCTAGAATAATATATTTTGTTATCATCTTTAAGGTGACAAAGAGGAATCTCTTTCAATTTTTATTTTTTAAATTTATGAGTTATTTAAATATTCATTATAATGATAAATTTAGGTCGTTCCAACACTATTACATTAACATAAATATAAAAATTACAAAAATTGGTTATGTATGTAGTAATTAATTTAGTTAAAGCGATTGTTTTGAAACCAAAGAAACTAAACTGCTTATAAAATGAAGGGGTGGTATCACCCAATTTTATATATAATGTAACAACCACCCAAACATTTTATATATTCTTATCAAACATAGAATCTGGTGAAAATACTAATCCAACCAATGTTACTGCCACTAAAACTAAATGATTCTACATTTCATCAAATTTTAGAAAATAAGATGTCAACCCAATAACTTATGACATCAGCTATGCTAAATGCATCCTTTCCACTATCAGTAGACGTATTATATATAATACACTCGCCCAAAAGCACAACAGCTAATCCCCTTGTACAGGCAGTCGTAGCTAGATTAGAAACCAACTCGAGCAAATAAGTTAGGTGAGGGCGTGAATCAAGGAAGCAATATACTGCACTTGGACAACCAGAGAGCCAGACAATTAGTAGTTTCAAGATAACTGGTTCAACATATGTGTTCCGAGATGCGCTTGATTTTCCATCGTTAATTTTCATAGGAGAGGAAAGAGCCAGGTACTTCACCATGCGGTGCATTAAAGGCTTTGAACCTCCTAAAGTTGGTACCGGAGCTTCGAGTTCAATTCGCAAAACCTGCACCAATGCATGGCTCCATAACAGGAGAAAACAAACGTTAAAGTTTCTTTTTACTGTACCTAGTGCCAATACTCGCAAAAAATCTGCTTCAGATAACAGATATTTTCTTAGAAGTTTTTACTATCCAAAAAAAAAAAACGACAAATAGAGGGGATGCTGAAGTTGCATACCTTTTCTTTACATTGTAAATTATCTTTCAGGACATGAGAAAGAACGCTCGCAGCTCTACAGCAAGTCTGCAATAATCAAAATAATTAACATGCCGATGCTCATAGGTTTGATACAACAAATAGCAATCACAGTGGAGAAAAAA